ATAAAATACGATAGCGAGAAGAACATTCTTCAAGAAACCAGGGTGTAAATAGTAGAGATTCGTCAGAACAAAGAGAAAAACATCAAACATCATTTAACCCACTTTTTAATACACCTTTTGATCATCCCAAGACACCAGCAGTGAAAGGACAGAATATAACAGAAGACGTCATGGCAAAACTTTCTAAAAAATTGTCGACTATCTTAAGGAAATTTCAGAATTACACAATGAAACCTAAGCTATGTTTTCGGGAAAAGAAAATTTTGTATAAATTGAAAGGTAACATCGACATTATAGTTAAAGAATCCGATGAAAGTAAAGGATTTGTAATTTTAGCAAAATATAGTAATGAAAGAAATATTTATACTCATTTATCAAATGTATCTAAAATTAAACACGGGTCTTACTAAAACACTTGAAAGAAACAGAAGAATTATTTTGAATGAATTAAGGGAAGGTACTTATGTAGCTCCGCGACTAGTGAAGATCTGTAAATCTAAGGATATCAGTATTATAAAGGGATACTTAAATGCAAAAGTTGGCCAGACACGAGAAGAATAAGTGTTAGGGCCTCATGGACTGGGTGTGAGACATGAGAGGGGAGAGAGAGAAAAATAGAATGGTGCAAAGGCAACAACTAGACCATAATAAATACTTTGTTCAAGAACCATCCAAGGTGCTTATGGACATGGAAGAGTCCTGGTAGACCCATTGTATCTACCTGAAATAAACCCAACAATCCTGGTAGACCCATTGTGTCTACCTGTAATAAACCAAACAACCCTGGTCGACTCATTGTGTCTACCTGTAATAAACCCAACAACTCTGGTTGACCCATTGTGTCTACCTGTAATAAACCCAACAACCCTAGTAGACCCATTGCGTCTACCTATAATAAACTCGACAACCCCGGTTGGCCCATTGTATCTACTTGTAATAAACTCAACAACCCTGGCAGACCCACTGTGTCTACCTGTCATAAACCCAACAACCCTAGTAGACCCATTGCGTCTACCTGTAATAACTCAACAACCCCGGTAGACCCATTGTATCTACTTGTAATGAACCCAACAACCCTGGCAGACCCATTGTGTCTACCTGTCATAAACCCAACGACCCTGATTGACCCGTTATGTCTACCTGTAATGCACCAACTGAGCTTATCTCCAGTTATTTAGATTCCATAAAGGATCTAAGGATACTTATCATGCCCTTAGTCTTTAACACAGTTACTCTTAACCTCAAACCAGACTCAGTTTTTTTTTATTTATGATGGGCATCAAATCATTATACACCGTAATTCTACAACAGGAAGGTTTACACAGTATGGTGGTCCTTTAACTCTTCTTTACAAGAGATATATCGATGACGTTGTTGGAATCTTCACGGGCAACTTGTCTGAATTATAAACATTTATTCATTATGCAAGTAACTTTCATTCTTCACTGGCCTACACACATAACATTTCTCAATCAGTTTTCAATATAAACCCACAACCGCCTACAACTATTTACATTTTAATTCTGTCCATCCCATGCCCATGAAAAAGAACGTCCTAAAATTCCATTTCATTAGGCTACAGAAATTGTGTAGTAAACCTGATGATTTCAGTGCCCACTCGACAAAATTGGAATAATTTTTCCATGATCGTGGCTACCCTCAAACATTCCTGAAAGGAACTTGCAACTCAGTTGTAAATCAAGACTGCAATTCCTCTTTCATTTTTCATGGAAACAAACTCTAAGTTCTCCTGTATTGCACCATCTTTTATCATCACATAAACAACAAACAAGTTAAAGACATTAATGTGAACAATTTTCACATTTTAAAGGAATCTGACACCACTAAAGATATTTTTCAAGACCCCCCATGATTTACTACTGCTACAATACTAACATTAGAAACTACCTAGTTCATAGCAGCCTTCAAAAACCCACAAATATTACCGTAGGTAGCTATCCTTGTAATAAAACACGCTGCAACACGTGTGCTTACATTGATTGTATGCACGTGTTGTTGAAAATTATACATAGGAGAAACCAATAGATTATTAGCAGAACGGACTCGAGAACATCTCAGAGGCATAATAAGTTGCAAAACAGATAAACCAGTGGTCCGAAATTTTAATTCGCCCAACCATACCCTTGTCCATTTTAATATACTTGTTTGGAAGTACAAATACAAATGTGAACTACAAGAAAACAAAATAATTTTTGACCTGGGAACTGTCCACTCCGATGGGAAAAAATGAGCGTTTTAGCTTTTTGTTTCTATCCTTAAGTTTTAAATTCTCTACCAACATTTATATTGTAAATTATGTATTTATCTAATCCTTTATTATTTTTTCACAGATATTTTATTATAATTTGTGTTGACTACTTTTTTTTTATCAAATTCTCAGTTTATTTGTATGTACACAGATACAGATATATATATAGATACAGATAAGTTATATATGTATAACTTTATAATTCTCTCATACTGTTTCAAGCGTTTGTGAACATTGATAGACACGTTTATTTGCTATACTGTCACGGGACCTTCGATTTAGAACGTTTTCGATTACGGTTTTACTGTTCAGCTAGTGATACCTGATGAGGGATATTGCCCGAAACGTTGTATGTACAGCAGTATATATTATAACATATATATAAATAACTAGTTAACATTTTGTTGTCTTCGGTGGTTTAACCTACAACACACTTCCTTTTTATTTTTCAACAACCACCTCGCGTAATTTATTATACAGTTTAAGACCATATAACAGTCAAGTGGGCTCGGAATGGCCAGGTGGTTAGGGCGCTCGACTCGCAATCTGCAGCTCGCGGGTTCGAATACCCGTTCCACCAAACATGCTCGCCCCTTCAGCCGTGGGGTGTTATTAAGTACGGTCAATCCCACTATTCGTTGGTAAAAGAGTAGCCCAAGAGTTGGCGGTGGGTGGTGATGACTAGCTGCCTTCCCTCTAGTCTTATACTACTAGGATTAGGGACGTCTAGCGCAGATAGCCCTCGTGTAGCATCGCGAGAAATTTAAAAACAAACAAACATATGTTTCTTACACCAGGGAATAAACTCGCACTTCGTGTACAGTGTATGAACTAAAATTATTTCACTACTGAAATACTGTTTAGCAAAACGATTTTTTTTAAAAAAGGATATAGAAATAATTGAATCTTCGACCTGCAGCATACGAAGAGGGCTATATGGGCCAAAGCCCAAATATTTTTTCTCACATATGCAGCGTTATTAAGTAGAATAATATATATATATATATATATATATATATATATATGGTGAGAAGGGTGTCTATTTCAACTAAATAAATCGTTTAAATAATGTTGTTGTTGTATTATATAGTGGGATATAAAAGGACCAAAAACCTAGTAAGCTGAATGTGGAGTTCGATGACGAGGAACCCACTTTGAGACTAATAATGGTTGGAGACGGCTTGAATGGATAATGAAGAAAAACTTTAATATAAGTTTAACATAACAGCAAATATACAACGTTTCGACAGGGTTTTGTCATATTAAAGTTTTTCTTCATTACCCATTCAAGCCGTCTCCAACCATTATTAGAATATGGAGTTGTTGTATTTAGATTTGAAGTAAATAAGTGTACAATCATGGAATGACTGTAAGCGAAATATATCTCTGTACACAACATTTTTTGTATAAACGACTTGTCTTTCTGGATAATCGTCAACTTTCACTAAGAACTTGAGATGTTTTCTTGATCGAACTATTGATAAAGCGACGTTATAAAATGTTGAATTTTTAAAATTTCGTTATCAAGAATTGTAAAATTCAACTGTCGTCATGTGTTTTTTGTAAATTTCTTGTGTGTATACCTGTCTAAATCGCATTTGTAAATCATCTGAAACCTGTAATGATTTTATTTTGAACAATATACTATCTGTAGTGCACCAAAAAGGAATGAAGTTATGGCATTGACTATTGAAGCTAAATGCTGTAGATTATAAACTTATGCATCGTGTAGGAAGCGTATTTAAACTTTAGGCCTAATTGTTGCTTTTTTTTAAGCGACCGTTGAAATTTATAGTGAGGTGTAATTGTATTCCGTTATTTATAAGCCACACAAAGGTTACAACTTAATTTGATGTCTTTCCTTGCCTGTTTCTCTATGTTACCGAAGTAACTGTCTTTAAAGTTAATTCTCTAAACGTCGTAGTTTGCATTCGTATTAAACGTTAAACTCATTCACTTTTACAATCGTATAAATGTAAAAGTACCACTGTACAATTAGCCAATAGAAATATTGGATTTCTAGGTGAGTGAACACGCATATATGTACGGACTGACATTACATAGATTTGTGTTAAAAAGCCATGTTTTTCGGAAATCATTTTGCTATTCCTTTATTAGAATGAAGTTATTGGTAAGATATCCGACATTATCTTTTCTAACGGTAAAAACCTGTTTATAGCGGGTTCTCGTCGTACGTTGGAACTATGATGTATCACGTGCAAGTTTTATATAGTTCGAAACTATAGCCATTTCTTGACAATACGCTAATACTTTCTAGTTTCCTTATACTAAACCTGTAAAAAATATGTAAGGAAAGAAGAAAATTGAAAGATTGTCAAGAAAATAATAAACACATAAAATGCGCTGACTTATGATTATGATCTAAACTTAAGGTTTGATGTGAACTCGGTCATAGAATATAGAGCATCTACAAGTACATTAGGATTTATACTTATGTTACATGTGTATGAATGATAGACTTAATTCTGTCAACACACATAAGGTTACATGTCTTCTATGGATACATTTTTCTGTTCTTGAACAAATAATTCAAGGTTATTATAAGATGTTACTGAAGTTTATCTTAAAAGGTAAAAGCCATTTTAAACAAAACATTTATTACGTAATTTGACAATATGTTATGTTTTATAACAATATGTTTTATGTTATATGATTAAATACTGTTACTTGAGATCTAGGGAAGATAGTCATACGCGTTTTCGTTTTATATGGATAAGCAATCCTACGCTATGTTATGATTTTTTCTTCAAGATCAAACTCTGTGTTTCTTTTAAGGCTGATTATTCTGAATCATCGATACTGGTGACAGCTATGCTGCTTGAAAAACCACCAGCAATCAGTAAGTAATGCAACGTGCATGAAAAAATGTGGTTTAACCTAATGTATATATATATCAGACAAATGAAAACAACTGATTGAAACGAAATAATGAATAGTTCAGAATGCGTATTGTTATCATATATGCGTATATATATATATATATGTGTTATCTCTGTTATAACTTTTACTGATTCTTTCTAAGAAATATTTCTCTGTTCCTAGTAATTGTGGACGTGTTTTAAATTCTGCTTTTTTGCAGCTGGATTCTACTATTTGAATGATGATGAATTCAGTACACCTAGTAGCGATGAGAAAAACGTAGGGAGAGTAGAAGATAAGAATGAATGTGCAGTTAAATGTTTATCAACAACAAATCCCATATGCAAGTTAGTATTACTTTTATTTTTTCTTGTCTTTATTGATTAAGATTTATTTGTGCCGCAGACCTAATACTAAATTTATGGAATAAAAAAACATTTTCATTTTCGCGTTTAATATAAAACGCAAGTTTCACAATAGTTACTGTGCTCTGTCGATCGCAGGAATCGAAACCCGAAATGTAGCGTTATAAACTCTCCAGCTTACCGTTGAGCCACATATTGGCATATATTATTGGTGGTTAAAATTTTACCTTTAGGATGCATACTCTTTGTAGAAAACTATTTACAACCTTTAAATATTATTAATTTATAAATTCCTTACTCGAAAATATAAGAACTTTCAAGTTGTTTCATGCACCTTATAAATATTTTTGATGAGCTAAAAACATAAAACGCTAGTGAAATATAAAGGTGTTTAATCTATTTAAAATATTACGTAAAAAAAAAACATATTCATAAGAAATTATTACATTTTGAGAAACGTAATATACTGTTTTCAAATAATGTCAGTCACCCTGTCCAGTTCATTATAATGCAAATCAAGTATCAGCTATCAAATAATGTCAGTCACCCTGTCCAGTTCATTATAATGCAAATCAAGTATCAGCTATCAAATAATGTCAGTCACCCTGTCCAGTTCATTATAATGCAAATCAAG